GTCAAAACCTCTACATACCATCCTTGTACCATTGCATAAGCCATTTGATGGATCTAAGTTTCTTAGTAACATGATGTGTATATTTTTCTTCAAAATCAACCTGTATACAATAGGAGATCAATTTTAAATTAATAAGGATATCTTCAAAAACAAAAAGTTGATAAAGAAAGAGTAAAAGGAACATATTTTCAGGTCTCACTTCAATTTGTTTTTAAAAACTTACAATTAACTTTGAGAAGTTACGAAGTTTTGTTAACTTCTTTCTGCAGCACCACACTTTAAAACTAATATTCATTAAAGAGTTTACATGAATGAAGAAAGAAAATCCAATACTTATATGCCTAATTGCCTTTCTTTGTGTGTATATGCGTACCCTAAGTTTTAACTATCTCTTAAAATTATAGTGATGATATAGCTGGCAAAGAAAATGAAATTGAAATGGCTATTTTCCAGATATAAACCAGACGCGGTGTTGTGACCTGGTTTTTTGCAGACCAAAATTTCACCAAAAATTGCAAAGGGTGTTATGTGGTTTCAACTTGACTAATATGCCCCTTCTTCTATTTATTTATTTAAATCTCCTAATTTTTTTTTTCAATTAAACAAACAACACTCAGCTGATACAGATATCATAGAATAATTTAACCTAATGGTATTAGAATTTTTTATGCTAGTAGCTAGAAAATTTCGAGAACTTCAAGTACACTTTATTTGTGTTTCACTGACTTAGAAACTTATATGTAATTTCGCTTTTTTCCATTAATGTACTTAATAATTACTTTGTTAGTTACATGTAGTTTGTATTGTATTTTTTCTAATTTTTGCAAACGTAGTTTGCATTCTGATCAATGTAACGGCACAAGTAGGGACAGCAAAAAATAGTAGGAGGGAAATAATAGTTACGGATGAGAGGTAATGTATAATTACTTAAGCTATTTAATATTTATTTTATGTAACTAACAATAGATAGAATGTTAATTTAAAATAATGAACTGCACAACGAACCCGTGTGGTGGAAGATCATTTGGTGTTAAAGTATTTAAGTATTCTTCCTGATAGTAGTTGTTGGTATCATCTTCTGCTGAGTCAAAACTGATAAATGTTTTGCTTTCACCGGAAAAATTAACAATCAACATCTCATTTAGTTGATCAATATATTCATTTCTGCTCGCTAAGATAGTTCTTTCTGTCATATACTTTGCACAACTTCCATTTTCATTTAATGATGGATATATTTCGCTTATTAAACGATCCTCACCACTGATATTACCATTGGACTTGATAACCAGTTGTTCTAGCAGAAGGACCAAATCATCTTTTATTGTATGCTCTTCGCCATTGCCGACGCGAAGCAAAAAATCACTAAATGCTGGATCTGTCCTTGCTCTCATATTTCTTGTTAGTTGAATCTTTTCCATTTTAGGTCATAAGTACGATCTAACTGAGCTAGCATTTACAGTCTCAGCTCTTGTTGATTTTGGAACTACTGGTAGTACTTGACGAAAATCACCTCCAAAAACCATTACTTTTCCACCAAACGGTTCATCTACATCCATTATATCTCGAAAGCTCCTATCAACTGTTTCGATAGTTTGACGCCTTGCCATAGGCGCTTCATCCCATGCTATCAACTTTGCTTTTCGTATCAATTTAGCTCCACCACTTTGCTTCGACATATTTGTGTGTTTGAAAGGGTATGTCGAATCTAGAGTGAGCGGTATGACCCCCTGGTAAAATTATTGCTGCTACACCACTTGTTGCTGTTGTTAATGCTATCATACCTCTTGATCTGACATTTGCAAGTAATGTACGATAAAGGAATGTTTTTCCGGTTCCTCCTGGGCCATCCACAAAGAACAAACCCGCTCTATCAGAATCGACTCTTCGCAATATAATCTTGAAAGCTTGCTCTTGTTCAGGATTTAGCTTTGATTGTGCATTAATATCTTCTTCAGACACTTGTATAGCCTTTTCTTCAATAATCTCTCTGCATTGTGTGGGGACATTTTCACTCTTGCTCATGCTTTGTAGGAAATAATTAATGCTCTTCAACGTGCATTGCAGTTGAGTATCAGACGAATTTTCATGTATTCTTCTAAAGTCCTCTGACATATCCTCGTAATATGTGTCCCACAGTTTTCTAACGTCAGCTGGATTACAATGTACCAATATAGTTGCAAACAAATTTCTAAGAACCGATGGCATTTTGAAGAGAATTGCCTCGCGTAAGCATTCAGAAATACTGTTATCTGATTCTAGTAACCCTCTTTCTTTTGCAGCTTCCTTGAATGTTTGACACTCTCTTTCATTAACCATGAGTAAGTCTTCAAATGAAAAGGTCCTTTGACATGATTCAGCAACAATCTCAAGTAGTACCTTTCACCTTCTCTAGGATTAGCTGCATTGTTCAAGAAAAAAGAAAATAGATGAAATTTCTAAAAAGATATAAAAAGTTTATTGAGTGAAATATTAATTTCGTTACCTGTAGCAATTCCACCAATTACCGATCTTTTCTGTCTTTTTGCCCATGTCCTTGATTGAGAGTTCCATACATAATACTCCGGGAATTCTTTGTATAGGTACACTCAGTGAGCATTGTTTTTTTGACATTGTCTGATGCTATAACAGTTTGCAAATTTTGCCTTTTCCAGTAGTACACTAAATAAAGATATAAAATTATAGGTCAGCATATCTTGTGTTAAAGTTATAAAACCAATAACGTGAGCACAACATATTTGAACACAATATATCTCATGTGACCGAAAAAGACATAAGAATTAAAAACTTGTATTTAACAGTGAATGTGGCAAATGCAATAACCTATACACAAATTTGAACCTTCGTCAAAGCAGGATATCATGGAATGCATTTTGTCACTCATTGCATATGAAAGAGACATTGAAAGTTGGGGGAAAAAAGTAGCAGCTTAGAAGGTAATAAAGAGAATTAAATAATCATGGTTATGAAAAGAAAAATCCTGCATTGTAACTTAATATATTTGAAATCCTGAGACCCGACAAATCCTGTAGAAGATAGGGAACTAAAGAAAAATGAAGACAATAAAGGTTTGAAAGGGTCTTTCATGTTCTGCACTATCGAAAATGAAGACAAATGAAGACAGTAAATTGTTTCTGTTTTCATAATTTAATATGAATTTGATTTAAAAATTCATGGCAGAAGTATGCAACTGAGCATAGTATACTCAATGGAATATTGTTATTAAACTTCTATTAGAAACTTATATAACCTTCTTCAGGTCACTTCAATCTTAATTAGAAAGAATACTGTAACAAAGTTCACTTTAGATATAAAAATTATACCTGCTTGTTTATCTGGGAGATGTAGCTGAAGGTTAATGACCGGAGGTTGCATCTCATTGAGATTAAACTCATAAATTCTCCAAAGTGCTTCTGGCGGAGATACCCAACGCGCATCTTGGAAGTTTTTAATTTCATCAACTATTCTTTCCTCATCATCTGACTCAATATAAACAGCACACCTATCGTGACCTCTTTCAGACTATCATGCCTGTGTTTTAGCATAGAATTTAGAGGATTATTAGATGATTCATAACTATACTATAAGTAGTAATATTTTTATGAGGGAAAAAAATAATACCAATTTTGCAGCTCTATTGCTTTTTCAAATGTCGGGTTCATCAACACACTACTAATAGGAGTAGTAGATATTACAAACTCCCCTGTTTAGAAAAGACAAAATAAATCTTAGTGCAAATTTAATTGGGAAATTAAAAAATAACTGTCTATATAAAATATTCTTGATATACGTACCCTGAAAAGTTGACTTTTTCACAACACAAAATGCTACGACAGGATGCTCATTTATCAATTCTCGTAGTATTTCACCATATTTTTCTGCTAGGTCACCCCACAAAGTCACAGTTTTACGATCAATCCTATTTGACAATTAGAATATGTATTAGTTATGTTGCATTAAATTAATATTTTATCTACTGTTAGTTACGTAAGATAAAAATTAAATAGCTTAAGTAATTATACGTTACCTTTCATCCGTAACTATTATTTCCCTTCTCTTATTTTTTCCGGTCACTACTTGTGCCTTTACATTGGTCAGAATGCAAACCACGTCTGCCAAAAAAACAAATACAAACTACATGTAAGTTATAAAGTAATTATTAAGTACATTAATGGAAAAAGAAAAATTACATGTAAGTTTCTAAGGTGGTGAAAAGGGAAGGTACGTACCAAATAATGAGCCGTCGGTGGATTTTGTTGTGGCATCGTCCAAAGAGAGACCATCTTTGGATTTTGTGGTGGTAATGGCTTCTTTTATAGAAGTGTTTGGTCCTTATTCCTAATGGATTCAGACAATAGAATAAGTTTTCAAATTATTAAATTTGTAATAGGAATGGATTGCAAAAGGTATTGGTATTAGTTTAGGATTCGGATAATATAATTAGGTGTTGTCAAATATAGGAATTTTGTGGATCTATTCATGTACTCCATTCGTTTCAATTTATGTGAACCTATTTTCTTTTTAGGCCGTGCCAAAAAGAATGACCTTTTTCCTTATTTGGAAACAATTTACCTTTATGCAATGATTTATATCCACACAAAATATATGTGC